GGAGACAACGGGTCTGGCCCACCCTGTGCACCCCATCCTCCTGAGAGCTCTTGGGTGCCTCGACCTTCCTGGTCTCCCCCTCCACACCACTGTAATCAAACCACACTCGTCTGCCTCCTGGCCCCTGGCCCCGAGCAGCAGCCCACCAGCCGCTGGACCCCGCACTTGCCGTCCTCCCTCATCTCCTCTCCTGACTGCGGTCTGACCATCCTGGAAATGAGCTCCCATCAACCGCACTTACTCGGACTCTGCAGGGGCCCCACTCAGCCCGCCTAGCCTGCGGCCCCGCCACAGCAGCCTCAGCAGGTACACAGACCCCTCTCCTGCTCTGCAGGCAGGGCTCCTGTTTCTCTTGACCCAGGCTCCCCTTGCTCTTCCATGTGGTGCCTTACACCTGCAGCTCCCTCTCTTCTTCACCTGCCCAGGTGGACCCATCCTTCAGGTCTTACCGTGGCCTGCGGGGCCTGCCTGGAGGCCCTCCCGGGCTGCAGAGAGGACTGTCCTGTGGGGAGTCTGCTTCGGGTCCTGGCTTGCAGTGGGGCTGCTTGGCTCTCTGCTTCTGTGGTCAGAGCATCCTGGGTCTCCCGCACGCTTCCCTCCCTGTGCCCCTGTCGGCCTGGCTCCTGTCTTCTCACAGGGACACCCAGTACTGGACTTGAGGCCTGAGCATACCTGCCAAGACCCTATTTCCAAATAAGGCCATAGTAGCAGAAGCTTGGGGTCAGGGGACACGGTCAGCCATGATAGAGGGAGGGAGGAGGGAGGAGAGAAGGACAGAGCTGCTCCATCTGGCACAGTGCAGACCAGATCCCATTCCAAAGACCAGCCCCTTCCTGCCCCTGCTGAGGCCTGGACGCTGCGTCAGCTCCCTGCACAGCACCGCGGGCCCGGACTTTCCTGTGGGAGGTCTGAAATGCCCCTGAGTCAACTCCTGAGAGGATCAGTAAACTGCTCGTGGCCACGTCCAAGCCCCTCAGGTCTCAGAACAGACGCATGTCTTCCTGCCCCTCAGCTTGATACCCACCTACCCCTGCCCTCTGTTGGAGGCTGCCACGCCTGGGGTGTCTAGTGACCAGAACTCTGAAGAAGGACTCCGGAATCCGCCATTCCACTTACAGGAAAAAGTGTCTACTAAGGAAGTGGAAGGTGGGATGACCCCTCAGGACGCCCATGTGGCTGGCCTCCTGCCTCCCCGTGGGTCCAGGGCCCCTTCTGTGTTCCTGCCAAGGAGCTTGGGCACACTAACCAGGAGACACATGCTGGACAGTGGAGTCCTGTAGAGCCTTTAGCTGCTATCACTGTAGGGCTACCCCTCGCCGTACCTAACATAGAAAGTTCTAGAAAATGATTTGTTTTAGAAATAAGACATGCTCTCTGAGGCACCAGAAAAGGCATCTTTTCCAGAGAGGTCGGAGAGGGGGAAGACAGCTCTGGTGGTGGCTATCGCGGGGTGAGGCAGTCCTGGGATAGGGTGACCTCTTTGCCAGTGGAAGGGGCCAGCCCAGCGCCCTGGTGCAGAGCTGTGTTTTTAGCAGCTCCATGTAGTGCTGGCTGTCAGCTGCACTTGTGGCCGAGAGCACCCTAGGAGACCCTTCCCAGAGCCTATGCCCAGAGGCGACAGGAACCTAAGCCCCGTTGAGGTACCCTAGATGCCTCTTCCTCATGGGCCTGGGCACTGGAGTGAGCTGGACCGTCTCTCCTGAGTGCCAGCTCCTTGAAGGCTCAGGCTGTGACCCGCACGCACACCAGGACTCTCGTACCTTCCTGGGAACCTTGGAGACAGACAGCAGGTGCTCAAGCTTTTGTGGATTCCTCAACCTCCGGCAGGGTGCAGTCCCCCTGGGCGGGAGGGCAGCTCCCAGCAGGCGCTGTGCCAGTGCTTTCAGCAGGCAGGGATGTCCGCTGCAGAGCGGGGACCACCACGGCCACTGCTGCCCCGCACCTGCGCCCTCGGGGATCGGAGTCGGCTTCCACATCTCCCCGCCTCTCCCCCATTTCCGAATCCTTCTCAAAGGGAGAAAAGGGGAGGGAGGAGGAGGCTGGGGGATGGAGGAGCTGACGGCCCAGCTGGGAGGGGCGTGCCCTCTGGCAGGCAGCGTGACCTGCCAACGCCCCCCTGAGGCTGCAGCCGCCGCCTGCTCTAATAAACTCTAAACTCCAGTGATTTAAGTGAAGATTTCAGATTAACATTTAAATTAATGCCGGACTAGAAATCTGGAGCCCAGGTCGCTGATGTGACTCTCCGTTAACTTGTTCTGTGACCTGGGGCGAAAATTTAAAATGATCATTTCTCATGGAGCTGCCCCTCCGTGGGGAGGTCAGGGATGGCAGAGCTGGAGCCCCCACCCCACTCTGTCCAGAAGTTGGCGCCTTCGGGGATGATGGGGTCGCCTTGACCCTGAGAATCTGCACCTTGAGATCCCAGCAGCTGGCACTGGAGGCAAAGAAAGGTGGGCACCATGGCTTTACTTGGAAGTCCTGTGCTGCGCCAGGCCAGGTGGCCGAGCCCTGGGCTCCCTCCCCAGGCCTGTCCAGGCCGCTGTGGAAGATCTTACGGGTCAATTCCTGTGGAAAGGAGGGGGAGGGCACAGGGTCAGTCAGGAGACGTGGCGTACACCTAGGGACAGTCCTGTGGGCCCCACAGTGGCCCGCCAGAGTGGCTCCCACTGGCCCCAGACAGCAGGTGTCCTGTCCTGCCTTGCCCAGTTCTGGGTGTAGACTGCACCAGGGAGGGTGATCATGACCCCAAGGCCTACATCTGGAAGGATCCCTGGGCCTGGGGACAGACCCTTTCCAGGAGGGACATGGGCAATGCAAACCACTCCGCGCTGCTCTGCCCTCCTCTCCCCTGCCTCCTGGGGACACAGTCCCCTCTCCTCTGATGGTGCTGTGTCCCAATCCTGCCCCATCTCCCATGTGGGGGTGCTCCATAACAGAGTCCTCACCCCCCCCCCCAGGAGGCCTGTGCTTCATACCAGTCCTGTTGCCCCTGAAATGGGGCTGAGAGGAGGGAGGGTGTTGGGACACAAGCCCAGAAGTCCCCAGGACTGTACCTACCCAGGGAGCTCCTGTGGACTTCAGCAGCCAGGGATGGCCCCACAGGCTTTCCAGCACCAGGGGCCCTCAAACAAACCCCGTGAAACAAACGTGCAGGCTTGGAGGGCCGCAGCCAGGCCCGAGCAGGGGCCTGGTTCGCAGATGCAGTCAGTAGAGAGATGGCAGGGCATGGGGTCCCACGCTTGTCACCACGCCCAGTCAGGGTCTCCAACCAGAATCCAGAGGGGCAGGAAAGGACAGCAGTGACCAAGCCGCTGTGTGTGCCAGGAGCTTAGAGAGCCTTGCACCCTCTCCTGTGAGAGGTGGCCTATCCCACACTAAGTGGGGTCTGAAGTCAGGGGCAGCTCAGGACAAGGCCATGGTCTTCTGTCCCACCACTCTCACCTCTACTACCTGGAGGAAGGCACACAGCTCCCTGAAAGTCACCTGCCCTGAAGTTCTTCACCTGATGTACCCCAGAGTGCCCTGCGAGCCCCAGCCAGTGTCCACAATTCAGGAGGGGAGTGGAGGGACCAAGGGCAAGCTGTTCTGCAGGGAGGTCTGAACGGGGCAGGGCCTTGCCTAGCTGTGAAGGGGGTGCTTGCTCTCGGGCCTGGGGAACGTGAGAGGGCCATGGGTGGCAGCATTCCACCTCTGCCTGCTGTGGCCAGCAGAGGGTAGAGGCCAGCTCAGTCAGTCTTCAACGCCTCTGACCATGGGCCAAGCAGAGCTGCCATCCCCTGCTGACCAGGACCTGGGAGAGACCTTGAGCGCCAGAAGGACGGAGTCCCAGAAGTCCCCAGGGCTGCACCTACCCAGGGAGCTCCTGGGTTTACCAGAGATGGCAGTTCACACTGGTCAGGGGGCACTTGGCCGTCAGGGCAGCAGGCTCAGGATGATGGCCCCGGCCTGTGCAGCCTGCGTCTGAGCTTCGGGTCCGGGTGCTCAGAGGGTAGCTCGGAGCTGCAGACCTGGGTGTGCCTCTCCCTCCCTCCCAGCCATGTCTGCAAGACGGGCAGCCCAGGGCCACCATCACAGTGCCACGGCCAGGCACTATGCAGGGCTGGGCCACTGGAAAGACCTGGAGGGCAGCCAGCCTCCCTGGCCACAGTTGGCCTTGTCACAATCAGCACAGGCCATGCCGCCAGCAGCCACGCTCTGAAGAGAGTACCAAATGCAGGGTCAGGTCAACGGCATGTAAAGTAACCAACCCTTTCTAACAAGGAGACTCCAAATATAGGGCTCCAATAAGACATGCAGCCCCAGACGGGCTGTTGGTGCAGGACCACGGCTCCCTGCGCTCGGGGCGCTGACCCACCGTCGTTTCTCCAGCGCCCCTCGGCTGGCGTGCTGTGCTAGCTCCTGGCCACAGGTAGGGCAGGGGCACTTGGTCTGCTTTTCACTTGCAAGGTCTCAGTCCCAGTGCTGCGCCTGGGGGGTCTCCAGTTGGGCAGTTTTGCCCTGGAAGGGGAAAAGGAATTTTAGGGGGACAAAGTGCTACGTAGCCTAGAATAAAAAAGTTTCAGAGGGTCCCCTGCAACTTCAATTCCAGCAAGAGTCAATCTACAGAAACAGGATGCATTTTGGACTGAGTGATGCAGAGGGAGATTGGGTCTGATAGATGCAGCCAGAGGGCTTTGGGGTGTCCAACGGGCTGGGGGTACAAGCACCTTCACTCTGTAAAGATGGTTCTACTGTGAATGCAAAGTAGGGGCTGTGAGCACAGCTCTGTGGCAGATGCAAAAGTAAAACGTGGTTTTCAAAATACAAAGAGTACAGAAGGGAATACAAAGAAAACGGGTCTCCAAGTCTACGTCTGATGGCGTCTGAGGCTGTGAGGAGGGAAGCCCCCATTCCTAGCAGAGTCCCCGTTGCTGGGTCCGAGCAGAGGGGCCTTCCACTGCCCTTCCGAGGCCACTCCCTGGTCACAGCTGTCTGTGTCTTGTTTAGCATGCAGGGCCCTGATGGACGAGGTGGAGTATGACATCACCAAAGCTCGGCAGAAGAAGACCAAGGTGGGCTCCTTCCGAATCAACCCTGACGGGACGCAGGAGAGGAGAAAGGTAGCGGAAAAGAAATTATATGCCAGTGTATAATTGCGGATATGGGCAATTACCAACCATTTATCCAAACAGCAGTTGGTCTTAATCTCCTAACCTTTCTCTTGTTCAGGGTATCAGCTCTAAATTGCTTCTGAGTCCTGAGGGACCCAAAGTAATCTTTAAGCTTGAAATTGAAGTATCTCTCTCAGCACCTAAATTTTGTGTCTTGTCGAGTTGGAAGGCATCGCAGCACTGTTGTTCATCAGAATCAAACACAATGCTGCCATGGTTCCTGGGCAAGGCCAGCGGGGGGCCGAGGAAGGTGGAGGGGTGGGCACCACGCTCTCGGGCACCTCCTCCTCCCTCCGAGATCTGCAAGTTTCTAGTTGGGGGTGCAGGATGCACGTCCCACCCCCCGGGACAGACTCGGATCCTTGGCCAACAGGAAAGAAGAACCGTTTCTGCTCCAAAACAACTCAAGGGGGGCTCACCCGAGGGTCTAATGTGGTGAGAGGGCTGCCACAGGGGAATTGCAGGGGTCAGCAGGGGCCTGCAGACAGGGTCTCGGGGCTCCAGCATGTCTTGGGAGATACCAACCCCTCTGCAAGGCGAGGAGTGTCCAGCACACACTGCCCATCTCAGAGCCATCAGAGAGAAGCAGCATTCAAAGGGTCCTTCTACAATGCCACACGAAGCTGAATGGATGTGGGTCAGGCTCCTGAAGTTTGTCCTGTCCTGCCTGGCTCACACAGCTGCCTCAGAGCAAGCAGAAGGGAGTTGTGCGTGTGTGTGTGCGTGTGTTTCCACTTTCCTGGAAGGTGTCCCTGTCCAGAGAGGACGGGAGCAGGGGTGGAGAAGATCCGCGGGGCTGCGGAGGGTTGAATAGTGGTGGAGACAGGGGTTCCTTGCTCTGTGTGTTTAGTTTGTGTGAGTTATGAAGGGGGGATTCACCCTCAGGTCAGTGCCCCCATGGGGCTCAGGTGCAGGGGTCCTCCTGGGGTCCATCGCCTCCCCAAAGGCATACAGGAGAACAGAACTGGAGAGGCACCTCTGAGGGTGTCGTCAGCAGGACCTTGGACAGATCCCTGGCAGCCCCCTCGCAGGTCTGACTCCTGCATTCAGGAGACCCAAGGTCCTACGAGGCCACCCAAGTGTGGGACATGTCCTTGGCACCAGCTGCAGCTGGCTTCCACCATCCAGCATAGCCAGGAAAGGTGTGTGTGTGTGTGTGAGTGTGTGTGCGTGTGCATGTGTGTGTGAATGTGTGAGAGTGTGTGTGTGTGAGTATATGTGAGCATATGTGTGTGTGTGTGAGCATGTGTGGGGGGTGAGTGTGTGAGTGTGTGTGAGTGTGCGTGCGTGTGCATGTGTGTGTGAATGTGTGAGAGTGTGTGTGTGAGTGTATGTGAGCATGTGTGTGTGAGCATGTGTGTGTGTGTGAGCATGTGTGTGTGAGCATGTGTGTGGGGTGTGTGTGTGTGTGAGTGAGTGTGAGTGTGTGTGAGTGTGTGTGCGTGTGCATGTGTGTGTGAATGTGTGAGAGTGTGTGTGTGTGAGTATATGTGAGCATGTGTGTGTGAGCATGTGTGGGGGGGGTGAGTGTGTGTGAGTGTGTGTGTGTGTGCATGTGTGTGTGAATGTGTGAGAGTGTGTGTGTGTGTGAGTGTATGTGAGCATGTGTGTGTGAGCATGTGTGTAGGGGGTGAGTGTGTGTGTGTGAGTGAGTGTGAGTGTGTGAGAGTGTGTGTGCGTGTGCATGTGTGTGTGAATGTGTGAGAGTGTGTGTGTGAGTGTATGTGAGCATGTGTGTGAGCATGTGTGTGTGTGAGCATGTGTGTGTGTGTGTGTGAGCATGTGTGTGTGAGTGTGTGTGTGTGTAGATGCCAGCTTGACTTGGGGGTAAGCGAGTCTGTGTGTTCTAGTGACCTGCCAGGTCAGGAGGCCGTCTGGCCTGTTGTCAGTACAATGGACCAAGAGAAAGGGGCCTCTCTCTCGAGGGAGAAGGGCACAGGGGCGACCTGGGAGAGGGAAGGACACTAGCACAGGTGCTTGGGAGGAGGGAGGAGCGCCTGGAGCTGGGGGCCGGGAGGGAGCCTGGTGGTCCTGCTGGGAGCACCTGCACCAAGGCCTTTGAGTGATGGCGATCCTGATGATGAGATTACCTTTCCTGTCTCACTGATGAGAACATGCACAGCCCAGGGTGCGTGTGTTGCAAGTGCCTTGGGAGAGTAGGCTGGTGGGATCAGGACAGTGCCAACCTTCCTGTCCCCTCCTCAGCGCTCTTGGGCTGTGTCCTTGGGTAACTTGACCCAGGACCCCACACTTAGGAGGCCTGAACTTTCTCGGGGTGTTTAACCCCAAAAGTGGTTTTAATTTACTTGAAGAAAATGGGCCACCAGCTCCTTTGCTGGTTGTGGTCTTTCCGGTGCTCCACTTTGACATGATCAAGTGAAAAGAACTTTCCAAATTTGCCAAAAACACTCTGCAAAGTAACCGGATGGCACTGGTAGTCTCAAAGGAGCCGAATATGGCCAGACCCGCCTCTCATGGGCCCTCATCCCTGCGGAGCCCCAGGCACCCTGTGGACATGAGGTGGGCGGCTCCCTTCCCTGAGCCCCAGCGACTTCCCTGGCCAGACCCTGTCCCCTGCCCGGCGGCTCCTTCAGGGTGCGGAAGGGGCCACACTGGCTCTGCAGCACTAGGAAAGGGCTCCTCAGGGACTGCCCAGCAGGATACCTTGGATGTGTGTCCTGTGCCTGCCTCAGTGTCCCCAGAATCACGCTGCGTTTCCCCCGGAGACAGTGGCTTGAAACTGCAACCTCTTGGGCTCCTTCCTGAAGGTCTCCCCTTCTCTTCAAGTTTCCGGAGCCTCCCAACAACGGGCCTGGGAAAAGGTATCTGAGATGGTGCCAAAGGTCCCCGGCCGACTGCCCGCGGTGAGATGTGGTTCCAAGTGCCAGGATCCTTGCCTCCTCTAAGTTGATTGTGGAGACCACCTGGAGCGCCAGCGGCACCTGGGAAGGACACAGAGACGTGGCTCCATCAGCATCTATTCCTGGCCTGGGTGGGCGGCAAGACCCTGGGGGCAGGCAGTCCCCGCTCTTCCTGAGCTACCACCAAGCAGGACCCCCACAGCTGCTCCACACTGGGGCTTGGGGGCCAAAAGTGGCGGTCTCCTCCCCTGACCTAAGGCCGACTCACAGAGCAGGCAAGAAGGGTGGAAGGAGAGGTCCTGTGGTTCTGGGAATTATTAGGAATAAGTCTCATTTATTTTAATTGACAGCATCCTCAAGATAGCTCAAAGGTCTTCAATGTTATTGATTTTATGGGGCAGCCCATAAAAACAGAGTTGATGAGGACAGCAGATTGTTTAGTGATACCCTAGGACGCTGCCCTCAATTCCCAGAGACCCCCTGCCTGGCGTCGGTCGGTGGACATGCTCTCCTTGGCCCCGGCTCTCGTGCTGTTCTCTTTTTAAAAGAAGAAATGGAATAGTCATGGAGTACTCGTCCTCTGCTTGCGAATATCACTCTGCAGTGGAGTGGGCAGGGCTTCTGCAGGTGCCCAAAGTCGGGGTTCCCGGGGGTCGGTGAGAGGAAGTGCTCACATGGCTGTGTGGAGTGGGGTGTCCCAGCTGGCTAGCTTTGCAGCGTCCTGGTGATGTCTCTGGGCTTTTTAAACAACAGACTGGAGAAGGGTGTGGTGTTGCACACCTATGATCCCAGCAGCAAGAGAGGCTGAGTGTGAGTTCAAAGCCAGCCTCAGCAACTTAGCAAGCTCCTGAGCAACTTAGCCAGACCCTGTCTCTAAATAAAACACAGAAAGGGCTGGGGATGTGGCTTGGTGTTCAAGCATCCCTGGGCTCAATACCCAGGACCCCCCCCCAAAAAAACCCCAGCCCAGATGGGATTAGTGGCCATTTTAGCAAAACACAAGTGGCAGCCCGCCCCAAGCCTCCTGGAGGTGGTGGTTCATGTTTGCTCTTGGAGCCAGCCCCCTCTTCTGGTCTGGAAGTCAGACCTCCAGGGAGGCAGGTGCAGAGGAGCTGCCCTTGTCAGCTGGACCAGAGCCTGGGAGCTGAGCGTGGCTCAGGTCTGCTGAATACAGGGTCCCCAGCTCACGTGCTGGGCACCCAGTGGGGCCTGGGTGCAGGCCGGGGGCCCGTGGATAGCATGGTGTGAACGAGGCTGGCCCCTGTGACTGCAGGGACAAGGCCCATCTGGAAAACTTGGGGAGTTTAAACACAGGAGGCACCACCAGCCGAGAGGAGTGCTGAGACTGAGGTCTTGTCTAGATTGGCGCCTGACGCCCTTCATTCCATTCTTAAAACAACTACCCGAGGCAAACAGAGCCACTTCAAATTGGCTTCATCTTAGAAATGCAAAAGATGGGCTCAGGGACCACTAGTGACTCGGTTTTGACAAACTGGCGTTAATTTCATTTGTTTGATAGCTCAATTAAGACAAATTCCAGTGTCACTTGCTATCACCAGAGCTACTCATCCTGTGGGTACTGTGGACCACCAGTATCCTATTGTATCCTTGAGTGTTGGTGCACAACCTGTACAACTGTATCTGAGCCCTGCTTGCTAATAAAAAGAGACAGGTGGGCCATTGTCACAGGCCAGTCAGGAGATGGAGGGGAATATGTCCATCAGGAAACTTGCCATTTACTAATGGACCATAAAATCAGTTTAGTGGGGTGTCACCAGCTTTAGGTAAGATGGATTTTATTTGAAAGAAGAGTATTGTTTCCTGACACTTCACATGAAAACAAAGTTTTGGGTGATTTTCTCTCCTGGGAAATGAACTCTGTGCTATGTAGAAATTCTAACCCCTAAAGCGCAGCATGATTCTCACTGAACAAGACGGAAAGCCACACGTGAACACAGGACTCTTTGTACGAAACCTTTGACACAGAGCTACGTGTGTCCCTGTCTCAATTTCCCGGCCTCAGCTCAGTGGCCAGCTGGCCTTTCTCATCCATCACCATGAGCTCGGGTGCTATTCTTCCATCGGCCT